GGCGCCTTTTTTTTCCTGCGGGAGGAACCAGCCAGTAGCCAGGTAGCTGTTGTGGACTCTGCCGCTTACCTGGTATCTGGGCATTGGCCTGTGCTTGCCACCTGACATTTGCAAAAGAAGCAACTAGTTTTCTCGTCAAGCATGGTGCTGAAAAGGGTGGCAGGGGTAGGCAGGATGAAGACCTATGCAGGATGAACTGAGCAAGAGCGATAAGGATATCCTATGCTCAAATCTTAGGAAAAAGGAATACCTCAAAAGTGTGTAAGTGTTGTCCTCTAAAATTCAAGTTGTCTTGTGGACATGTAGTTTTCTTTTTCTTTTTTATTAGAGAGTTTTTTGTTTTTATTTTTTCTGTAGGATGTGTGCTCTTGCCAGAGAGACAGAGAGAAACAGAGAGACTGAAAGAGAAAATCACCACCACTCTCCAGGGGGTTGGTCATGTTGTAATCCCTTCTCCTTCATTCTCTTCTTAGGATTTTGGGCATGTGTGCATGTTTGCCCGGCATGAGTTTTAAGCCACCAGGTCCGGGACTTGAACCATGGTTGACTACATGGGAGTCCAGTGATGTAACTGTTATGCCATCTGCAGGTCCCAAGTACACATAGTTTTCTGCAACTTGCTCTTTTTGAAAATGGCACTAAAATGAGATCTGCCTTTACTTGGCAAAACAACCAAATAGGAACCCACGGATGACTTTTTAGCTACTGTGGATGCACTGGTAAACTGTGGGAGCCAGTATCATAGCTTTCTTAAAAAGTTCAGGGGGTAGGAGGGGCATGAGCACCAAGCAAATGCCCTGTTCCAGGTTAACCTTATTTGCCTGGGTCTGAAAGGTGAAAAACACCAGTGGGATGATCCTAGTGAAGAGTGAAGGGCAAGAGCAAAGAAATCTGGTTATCTGTGGTTGGCACATTCTGACCTTTCCAAACAGGTATCTGCAGCCTGGACTCCCTTCTAAATTCCAGACCCCTGGCCTCCCTGTTGGGGGTCAACATGTCTAAAGCCAACATGTTTGAAGCCACTCGTGCTGTCTTCCTCCCCAAACCACTGCCCTTTCTGGCTTCCTTATTTTTCTAGAATTATACAACCAGTCTGCTTATCACCTGCTAGAATGTCAGCTATCCAATTCAGCATGTATTCAATGAGCCTCAAGTACATACCTGCAACCCAAGGATAAATAAATAGGTGCCTTGCTTTTGAGAAGCCTAGTTCAATAATGAAATATAATGCTATGATAGAAATATGTGTCCAGTGCTGTGAAGGATAAGGCAGTTTTCTCAAAGAGACAAAGTAGAAAAGTGTAATAAAATTCAACTTAAAATAATAATAGGTCTGGGCCCATAGCACAGCAGTTAACCACTGTGCATAGAAAACTGAATCCCATGTGGTTGGCTACATGGTCCAAATCCTAGTCCTGGCAGCTTGAAAACGCACTGGGCACATGGGTGTGTATCTCCAAAATTCTGTGGGATGGAGAAATCTAGGAAAAAAGATTGTAGCATGACTGCAGCCCACTGTTAGGTGCTTTCTCTCTCTCTGGCCAGCACATACACCTTCCAGCAGTTAAAGTAATAATAATACTAGGGATCAGCAGATGGCATGATGGTTATGTCACTGGAGTTGGACGTAGTTGACTGGGTTGGCGTCCTGGACCCAGTGGCTTAAAATTCACACTGGGTGTGTGTGAACGATCACTCAAAATCCCTAGAGGAGAACAGAGGAGAAGGGATTTCAATGTGGCCATCTCCCCTGGGGGGTGATTTCTCACTTTCTGTCTCTCTGTTTCTCCGGTGAGTGCACACTCCCTACATCAAAAACCTCTCTACAAAAATTTTTAAAAAAAGAGACAAATACATGCAACATTTTATTTTTAATTAAATAAAAGCAAAAAGAAGACTCTAAGATCTGTTTTTATTTGCATTAGACAAGAGATTAGGAAGAAAGAGGACAGTGTTTTATGATATTGTAGTTTGCTAAGACCATGGCAGGTAAATGTAACATCTTGTACCTATGTTGTCTCCCTAAAATCAGACATATCGGAAGAACTGGATACAAAACTTAATCTCAATAGATCAGAAAAAATGGAAGATATCCCCAAAGAACATGAAGATACTTCCTCTTTGGTAGCATTTGAAAATCTCCAGACAAATGTGACGGAAATGATGTTGATCATGTTAGTAGAGAATCTAAGTGGCCTGTCCAGTGATGACTTCCGAATAGAAATAATTCGTGACTGTGATGTTGCTGTGGTTACCTTTACAAAACATATAGGTAAGATCAAGTGGCATTCTCTTTGCCAGTCTTCCTTGCACCACACCCTGGGATTTGGGATTCCCAGTTAATGGAACACCCTTGAAAATTTGACTCTTTCTAGAAGACTCTAGATGGTTTTGTTTTGTTTTGTTTTGTTTTTAGGTAGGTAAAGCAAATTAGATTTGAAACCAAATTCTGGTGTCTATTTCTCCCCAGCTCATTTTTTATTTTTATTTTTAATTTTTATTACTATATAGTAATCAATAATAATAGGTCTGGGCCCATAGCACAGCAGTTAACCACTGTGCATAGAAAACTGAATCCCATGTGGTTGGCTACATGGTCCAAATCCTAGTCCTGGCAGCTTGAAAACGCACTGGGCACATGGGTGTGTATCTCCAAAATTCTGTGGGATGGAGAAATCTAGGAAAAAAGATTGTAGCATGACTGCAGCCCACTATTAGGTGCTTTCTCTCTCTCTGGCCAGCACATACACCTTCCAGCAGTTAAAGTAATAATAATACTAGGGATCAGCAGATGGCATGATGGTTATGTCACTGGAGTTGGACGTAGTTGACTGGGTTGGCGTCCTGGACCCAGTGGCTTAAAATTCACACTGGGTGTGTGTGCACGATCACTCAAAATCCCTAGAGGAGAACAGAGGAGAAGGGATTTCAATGTGGCCATCTCCCCTGGGGGGTGATTTCTCACTTTCTGTCTCTCTGTTTCTCCGGTGAGTGCACACTCCCTACATCAAAAACCTCTCTACAAAAATTTTTAAAAAAAGAGACAAATACATGCAACATTTTATTTTTAATTAAATAAAAGCAAAAAGAAGACTCTAAGATCTGTTTTTATTTGCATTAGACAAGAGATTAGGAAGAAAGAGGACAGTGTTTTATGATATTGTAGTTTGCTAAGACCATGGCAGGTAAATGTAACATCTTGTACCTATGTTGTCTCCCTAAAATCAGACATATCGGAAGAACTGGATACAAAACTTAATCTCAATAGATCAGAAAAAATGGAAGATATCCCCAAAGAACATGAAGATACTTCCTCTTTGGTAGCATTTGAAAATCTCCAGACAAATGTGACGGAAATGATGTTGATCATGTTAGTAGAGAATCTAAGTGGCCTGTCCAGTGATGACTTCCGAATAGAAATAATTCGTGACTGTGATGTTGCTGTGGTTACCTTTACAAAACATATAGGTAAGATCAAGTGGCATTCTCTTTGCCAGTCTTCCTTGCACCACACCCTGGGATTTGGGATTCCCAGTTAATGGAACACCCTTGAAAATTTGACTCTTTCTAGAAGACTCTAGATGGTTTTGTTTTGTTTTGTTTTGTTTTTAGGTAGGTAAAGCAAATTAGATTTGAAACCAAATTCTGGTGTCTATTTCTCCCCAGCTCATTTTTTATTTTTATTTTTAATTTTTATTACTATATAGTAATCGTACATATTTGTAAGGGCACAATGTAATTTTTCAGTAAATGGCATACATGCAATAAGTAATGATTAAATCAGGATAATTCCTATACTCATCATTTGCCATTACTTTGTTGGGAACATTTCAAATCCTCTTTTTTTTTAGCTACTTTGAGCTGTTCAGTAAATTGCTATTAACCATATTCTCCCTGCTGTACTTTGTAACACTAGACATTGTTCCTTTTTTCTATCTGTAACTTCGTTCCCATTAGTCAACATGCCTCTGTCTACACCCTTCAGCCCCCAATCCTTCTTAGCCTCTAGCAGTCATTCTTTTTCTCAAATTCTGGTATGTTTGATAGGCTGAGTTTTATTGCATGGTTTGGGTGTGTGTGTGTGTGTGTGTGTGTGAAGAGAGGAGCGAGAAGGGACACACCCAACTATTTATCTAAAGTCTAAGGTTATTAAAGTGATTCCAAGTAAAGGAGTCAGCATTTTCACATGTGTTAACTCACTGGGAGAAGTAAATATTGACCTGTGTGTTACACACCAGACTTTCTGCACAATAAGAAATGCTGGGGTAGTGCTTACTAGAAGACAGGTACTATGTTAAGCTCTTTACATGTATTAACTTACTTATTCCATTCAACAACCTCAGGAGATTGGGACCAGCAGATGGTGTGATGGTTACATCACTGGACTCCAGTTCTGACTGCGGTTCAAGTCCCGGACTTGGCTTTAAACTCATGCCAGGTGCATGTGTGTACATGCCCAAATCCCAAGAGGATAATGGAGAAGAAGGGGCTGTGGCATGGCCATCCCCCCTGGGCGGTGATTTCTCACTGTCTGTCTCTCACTTTAGTTTCATTCTCTCTGGCCAGTGTACATGCCCTATAGCAAACATCTCTCAAACACACACACACACACACACACACAAACAACAACAACAACAAAACCAACAACCTCATGAGATTATTATTACTATCTTCTCTAGTATGGTTGGGAAGATAGAAGCACAAATGTTCTAAGAAATGGAAGAACTGGATTTGAATCCAGGCATGCTGCATCTACAGCCTGTTCCCTTATCCGCCATACCTTGTATTTCCTTACTCCTCCATGGCCATTTACATATAGAGGGAGGAGCAAGTGGGTGTGATTATAGAAAATGAATGCTCTTTCTGGTCACTGTCAGGAGTCTGTAGACAGTCTCTCAGACTGGGAAGAGCGAGTCCTACCTAAAACAAGGAAAGTTCTCCAATTCCAAATCCTCACTATTCCATGGGCATGGCAGTGCAATAATTAAGAGTGAAGACTATGGGGTCTAAACTTTAGCTGTGCCACTTCACTAGTTATATTAGGTTGGCTGACTTACCACCCTCTCTGTGCCTCACTTTCCTTATCTATAAAATGGCGAAATAATACCTACCTAATATAGATACTATAGAGATTAATTAAATGTGAGGTGATAAATCTGTTAATTGACTGGGTTTAATTAGTCCACAATGTACATATACTTCATCTTGTATTTTTTTTTTTTTTTTCCTGGAGAGATTTTTTCCTATAGGAAGAATGCACTTGACAGAAAGAGACAGAAAGAGAGAAATCACCCCAGGGGGGATGGCCACACCGCAATCCCTTCTCCTC